GGCGGGTGGTCGCCAGCGGGAGGGCGGGCGGCGCGGGCAAGGCGGGCCAGGCCTCGGCGAGCCGGCGCCGCACGGAGCCCCTTCCCCGGTGGCTGCCCCTTTTGTGTGGGCGCCCCTCCCCGCTCGGCCCGGGCCGGGGGAAGCCGGCTGCTTGGCGACGGCTGGCAGGGGGCCGCGGGGCGGTGGCTGGGGGCGCCTGCCGGGGCCTGAGCGCCTTTTAGGAAAAGGGGAGATGCGCTTCCTGCCCCCGCCGAGGTCGGCTTCGCTTTCTCTGGTCCCACCCGGTCCCCCGGGAGCTGCATCTCCCGCGGCTCGGCCAGGGAAAGTTCACCGGGCGCCGTCCCCGCCCCTCGGCCCCCGCCCCTCCGGCTCCCGGTGCCCCGGGCTCTTAGCTCTAGGGGGGTGGTGTTGGCGCTAATTCATGCTTTCCTTTCCGTTTGCGGCTTGCATTGTTCGTTTTACACCTAGCGCGGGCTTGTCCGTTTCTTTTCCCCTTGAAAGAAGTTTTCGTTCCAAGAAATTTACACTGAAAGGAAATTCCTGGAGAGGAATCTGATGTCAGCGGAGGAAGCTTTTAGATTTTCTTCCTTTCGGTGAGATTGGAGGGTGAGGGGGAACGACTGGCAATTTTTCAGTTGTCCTAGGGGTGACCTAGGAGACAGGACCACCTCCCTCCTCTCCTACCGCTCAGGCAGGAGCTTGCTGAGCACCGGGAGTAAGCCCTCTGGTTGGCTGGGCGTCCTGAGCGCCCTGAGCCACCCGGTCCAGGAGAAAGGACTCGGGGAGGTGCCTGAGCCTCAGGTTCCTTTTCCTTGCCACGCATGCTCATCTTGCCAGCCTGGGTGGAGCTGGCCAGGTGTGCCTGAAGGAGGTGAGGGCCGCCAGGAGTTCTCAGAGAGGGAGTCGTCTCACCATGAGATTTGGCGGCAAGGAATCAAGTGTGAAATGGGGCCCTCTCTGCTGTTGGCAGATGAGGTCTTTGGGACCTCTGTTTGCATGGAGGATGGCATCTCTGGGATGGAGAGAGAAACCTGGCTCAGGGAAGCTGCAGCGTGTGTGGGGGAGGGTTGGCTTTGAACTCACCCCACCCCTGCCCCAGTCCACCTTCTTCAGCTGGAAGGAGCAGGAGGCAAGTGACCAGGAGTGGGGCCTCAGGCCTGGACACATCCTTAGATAGGAGAAAGACCTTGGGCAACTAGCATGACCCAGAGATGATAGTATGGCAGGGGTGGGGTGGGTGAGTTCTAGGGGGTTGACCCCTAGCCAGGGGTAGGGGTCATGGGCCCCTTTGAGGATCTGGTGAAAGCTCTAACTCCCCCCTCCCTCCCTCTGACACAGGCAGGTGTGCAGGGTCACATTTTGTATGCAGGATCAGAGGGTCACTGTGCCCCTTGGAACTGGGACCCGTTAAGATCGCCAATCTGTGGTTCAGCCTAGGTGGTTCAGAACAGTTCCCTCTTTTGTGTTGAGTCAGTGAATAGTCCCAGGGTGTGAGGAGCAGATCTCTCAAGAGGGCTTTTCTCATGACCTTCCGATGCAACTTTGGGCTTGTGGCCATGGAGACCTGGAAACTCTGAACCAGATCCCAGCTCTGGGCAGTGAGCCAGAGAATGGGGGCCAGTGGGGTGGCCATTCTCCAGGGGCTGATTTTGTTGCCTTTGTGGTGAGAAGGCTCTGGGCACTAACTAGTCCAGTGCCACAGAGCTGTTGAATTAGAGGTAAATATAGGGATTAGGGGCTTCCCTGGTGGCTCAACTGGTAAAGAATCTGCCTGCAATACGGGAGACCTGCGTTTGATCCCTGGGTTGGGAAGATCCCCTGAAGGAGGAAATGGCAACCCACTCCAGTATTCTGGCCTGGAGAATTCCATGGACTATATCGTCCATAGGGTTGCAGAGTCGGACACGACTGGGCAATTTTCACTTTGACTTCCCTGATGGCTCAGATGGTAAGGAGACGGCCTGCAATGCAGGAGATCTGGGTTTGATCCCTGGGTTGGGAAGATCCCCTGGAGGAGGAAATGGCAACCCACTCCAGTACTCTTGCCTGGAGAATCCTTTGGATGGAGAAGCCTGGCAGGCTACAGTCCATGGGGTCACAAGGAGTCAGACACGACTGGGCAACTAAGCACAGCACAAGGGGGTTAGGGTGAGGGATGGTGTCACAACAAAACAGGAGTCAGATGCTCTTAAGAGTCCCAGCTCATTCTTGGGGCAGCGGCATTGAGGTGGTGGAATGTGCTTCAGTGGAGAGGGTAAGTGTGAAAGACGCTTCTCCTCCCACCCCCCCGCCTCCACTTTTTGGTTGAGCCGCTCAGCACGTGGGATCCTAGTTCCCTGACCAGGGGTCCACCCCACGCCCCATGGTGTCTTAACCACTGGACGGCCAGGGAAGTCCCAGGACACTCCTCCTTTTGAGGAGGTCTTTGTGCAGAGTTGTTTAAGGCTCGGATTGAGGTATTTTAGGTTCCTTGTTGTTCAGTTACCAAGTCAGGTCCAACTCTGCGACCCCATGTACAAAATGTACGCCAGGCTTCCCTATCCTTCACTATATCCCAGAGTTTGCTCAAACTCATGCCGGGTTCCTTAGATCCTCATGGACTAGAGAAGAGGGAGCAAGCCAGAAGGAATGGCTGTCACCATCCCCAGTATGTCCGCAAGGAGACCAGACTTGCCTTTTCTTTCTTAACCAAAGCTCACTGGGCCCTGGGCTGTGCCCAAGTGTTGGTGGCATCACCCTTCTTGGGGATCTGGAAGAGCTTTTAGCAGGGTCTGCCATCTATGACTTCTCTGCTTGGTATTGAGAAGCCCTTCTCAGGCCCCAGTGACCCCAGACAATGGTAGTTCATGGAGATTTTTCTTTGACTAACAGACACAGTGTTGAGCAGATAGTAGCTCTCAGACTTGTTTCTTCCTTCAGGGTTTCCTATTTGTACTTTGCCTTGATAGATTTCCCCCGGTCCTGGCAATAAGCAGGATAGGCTGGAGTGTTCTAGAGCCTTGGGAGCAAGGTGCTATGCTTTGACTATGCAAGGTGCCCTGGAAGGAGGTGAAGTCTCTGTTCTGCTTTCAGGAAGTGAGAACCGCAAAGGACCTGGGGTGCTGTGGTCCAGCGGGCGGTCCCTAACTTGGGACTTGACAGTTGTTTGGTAGGTGGGGTGTGAGGGTCCTGCGGCGGTGACTAGAGGTGCCTGTTCGTCAGGGGCCAGGACTTGTCTGCCTTCTCCACCGCGGCTGCCATGGGTTGGTGAGGATGCTGATTGTGTAGGCTCACTCAGTTCTCTGATGTTCTCTGCTTTCGGCCTCCCAGTAGGTCTCTCTGATGTGTCTGAACAATATAGTAGATTCCGAATAATCCAGCTATCGCTCTTATCTTTAAAACAGGTCATAAATGACAAACACGGTAACAATGCCTGTCAACATAAACTCCCTTTTCATAAATTGTGAAATGCACTGAGGAATGATTGGTGGGATAAAAAGGCTCCAAATCTAACTTCCACTCCCAAAGACAATCTGGCCACTCTGTGTCCATTTCTAGCATGGCTTCATGGTATAGCGTGTAGGATCTGAAGTTACGTACATTCTCCCCGTTGCACTCCCAGCTCTCCATCTTACTCTATGACTTTGTAGGTGCTTCAGTTTCTCAGCTTTAGAAAAAAATGAAAGGAGATACTATGCCAGACAAAGAGCAAGTCCTCTTTTAGAGTGGAAACTATTATTATCATCCTTCTTCTTATTTCTGCACTTGCTAATGTTCTGAGGCTTCTTATTATTAAGGAAGATCTTTGGTAAAAACTGTAGAGGCTGAGGCTGGCTTTTGGAGATGTGGGATGGAGTGGGGTGAGGTTTAAATTTTGAGCAGAGGGGAACACATGGTGGGGAGATGAGCCTGAAGCGTCAAGGGTGATGACAGAGAAGTATCGTTGGGGGCAGAATGACTCAGCATTCGTAGCCCTGCTGTGGAACTAACTCTCCTCCCTCTTCTTTGGAAAATTTGCCTTCTAAACTGGTGAAGGTGGGGTGGGGGGGAGGACCATAATCAGTAAAGAGGGTTGACTGGCTTTTTAGATTACTGTTAACATTGCTTCTGGAGGAAGGGGGTCTAGTTGGGGGGTGGGTAGGCTCAATGACAGTCAAGAGTAGAAGCAGGTCGGGATTTCTATGAAGCCGTAGGCTTGGGACATAATAATTCCAGCTTCACTGAACACTCACTGTGGGTCAGACCCTTTTCCAGGCGCTTCTCATGCAACATTTAATCCTCACAAGATCCTGTGAAAGGTTAAATCTAGATTTCAGTAAAGAAATGGAGACATAAGGAGGTTAAATACCATGTCCCAGATTGCATGGTTGGAGAGTGGCAGAGCCAGGATTTGAACCCAAGAGGCTTGGTTACAGAGCTTACGTCTTTAGAGTCTTTAGAGAAAGTCTGAGAGAGACCCCTACTGAGCTGAGGGCTGAGAGGTGGGGATGGTGGGCTGGTGGGGTTGGAGGGGTGACGTGCTCCGAGTGAAGGGCTGACGGTGCAACATTCGAGCATCGCTGGGACGTGCTGAGGGTTCAGCCTGGCACCGGCTACTGAGAACCACTGGCTGAGTGCCAGACACCCTCCTGGAGCCAGAGCCTGAGGACAGAGTTCACTGAGACATGCCCCTGCCTGAGAGATGCCTGTAGTCTAGCTGGGGGAACAGATATGTCAGCCTAGAACTTCAGTTGCCATGGCGAATGCTGCACTGAAGTGAGTGCTGAAGAGGCAGATGCTTTGGCAGCCAGAGGAGGAACTGGGCAGGGAGGGCTTCCTGCGGGAGGGGGCACTTGAGCTGAGTGAGGCTTAAAGGGGCTGCTGCCCCCAGCCTTTTGATCTGGCCAGGGTATATATCACTCTCCCACTCTGTGAACTCCCCAGTAGAATCGAATTTTCTGGATCCTGCAGCACCCTTGCTTTAGTTGGCTCCCTTGGTACCTTTGTGGTTTTTAATAGTCACCTCCTCTATTGCCTGAGCGAACATGCAGAAGAAAAAATAAAAATCTTGTCAGCGTTATCGCTCAGAACACAGTGATTCACTCTTGTCTCTCCATACTTAGAAGCAGGACCAGCGGCGAATGAATGTAAACTGCAGAGGAAGGACTTAAGTAAGATCTGAGGACAACACTCCAGATAGGATATGAGGACGAGTGACTCACAGGAGCGGAGGGGAATGGCCATCCCCGAAGGTCTTTAGAAATGAGAGCGAGTTCCATTTGTCTTTGTGGTTTAAGAGGTTTCATCTGGAGACAGGAAGATGAAGTAGAGGCCCCTCGAGATCTGTGTCAGCTCAGCAAAGGGAGGGGTAAACGAGCTGGAATATTTGAGCTAGAATGTTGCTCAGATCTGGCCTAACCCCTCATTTTCCTGTTCAAGTGACTGAAGAATGTCTGTCTCCTTAAGTGGGTCATTCATTAATGAGCCAAGACACAAACCACATCTGCCCACAGCTGGGTGCTGCCCTGCCTTGATCCCTGTCTGGGGGGTGCACTCTGGGGGCACCCCACAGCCCTACCGGATGGAGTCCATGCCTTGTGAAGAGGGCTGCAGGAAACCCGCAAGTAGTTGACTGGCTGTTGGCACTAGAGAAAAGCTTCAGCTCCTGCTCAAAAAATGTTCTGAAAATGGCCCAGTGGGAGCTAGTGGTCATCTTATTCACTCCAGTATTCTTGCCTGGAGAATCCCATGGACAGAGGAGCCTGGCGGGCTACAGACTATGGACTCGCACAGAATCAGACATGACTATCACTCTAACTATTCACCCTCCTGGCCCAGCACCTAGAAGAGACCTGGGCATACCTATAGGGCCTTCAGTAAACTTCGTTGAATGAAAAGTAAACAGCAGACAATCCAAAAGTTATTCTTCTTTTACCAAACACTTGTTGGCCAGTGCATTTACCTTTTCAATTCTGTTTTGCTTAAGCCAGCAACTGAATCATTACACGATGCCCCCAGCAACAGAGAGAGGCGCCCAAAAGTGTGCTGGGGACAAGCGTGATGAACAAAACAGTTTGGGATTTGTCTCTCAATGTGTGCAATTCTTTTGAAACTGTATCAAGGGCAGACATTATGTTCATTGATGTTGACTTGCCTTTTTTGTGTGTTGTAGTTTGTCGTTGTTCCCAGACTGAAAGTAAAGGCTGCATATTTCAAATTTCGGAAAAGCATGTGGTCTAGTTCTCTAAGCTGCATTCAGCAAGATGGCTACAGAGATTGCCAAAGAAACAAGGCTTGCTCTCAGAAAATAATCTGATTAAGGAGGAGCCAAACAGGAGCCAGTACTGGGCAATGAGTTTAGAATACTGAGTGGTGAAGTTTACTTCATGGGGTGAATTTCAATGGACTCATGCAAATTAAAGAAAAGCAGCAGAAGAAAACCCTATGGCGGCTCTCTTGCTTCTTCTTACCTATTCATTAAGGAAGCATTGAGTTCTAGGAGGCACCTGCCCAGCTCTTTATTTTCCCTGCAACCAGCGCGCTAAATCTGGAGCTCTGATGAGGAGAAGAGCCTCTGCGGTCATGTAGGGTGACCAGGCTTAGGAAATGATTTCACTTTGTTCAGGTCTGAGATTAGTTTCGGTTTCAGGCTGTACCAGGAGCTGAGAGAGAGAGCGTGAGCTAGAGCCAGCGAGAGGAGGAGGAGGCTGCTGGGAGAGCCTCACCATTGGCTGTCCCGAGTGGCAAGGTGGGCGGGCAGGGAACTCCTGCGCAGAGCAGGGAGCGGAGGAAGATGAATCAGAGATACAGTCAGGGGAGGCAGCCATTGAGCATCTCTGTGTCTATGGACTGGGCAGCAGCCTAGGATGGTATCAGCAGGTGTGCGTAGGGCAAAACCCCGCAGTTACAGGACTTCTGAGCCGGGGCTGCGAGGTCGTAGGGAAGCTGTAAAACACAGATTACCTGGATGAAGTGGGTTTTGCATGAGCAGGTGCCAAGCTAGGCGGAAAGCCAGGGGTCAGTGTGAAACAACCCCCCCCCCCCCAACATCTTATAACCGTATCCTTACAACTTGCGTCCTCTTGCATTTGAGTTTCCTTAAAAAAAAAAAAAGACAAATGAAGGTTTGAGAGCTGATAGTTGAGAACTTGCAGACTTTTGCGAGTTGGCGCATCCTCTAAGATTCTGTCTTCAAGCTGTCGTTTCTCCTTGAGACGGTTTGCGGCCAGTCTGGCGGTTTTACAGGGCATCATTATCTCAGAAAATCAGCGCCTTCCCTCCCCTGACTGGCTCTGGGTGCGGCAGACACAGATGTTTCATCCCACCCGAGCAGTGTTACAGCACCATTGCATTTTATTCCTCCAAGTCATAAATTCATTTTATTTCTAAAAGAGAGAAGCATTGAATTTTAAAGCCAGGAAGGATTTTGAAGATCATCCAGACTGCTCCTAGAGGAATTTGTGGTCCTGGGTCATTAACCACCTTAAAAAAGAAGTATAGTATGTGGTTAAAAACTCTTGAGTCAGACTGCCTGTGTTTGAATCCACCTTTGCTAGTTGCTGCTGTGTTCTTGGGGCAAGTTAACTCAATCTCTCTGAGTCTTAATTTCCTGAACCATATGATGGGAGTAATAATATACCCTAATTGTTGCTAGTGAGGATCAAATATTCATTAAGCCTTAGCACAGTGCTTGGCGAATCGTAAGTTCTCAATAAATGTTAGCTACTGCTAACATTTGTTATTATCCTCATTTCATGAAATCATATCATCATCAGTGGCTAGTTGCTGTAAGAACCCGGGCTACAGGGCTAAACTCTTTATAATACTAGTTTTCTCCAGCATGGCCATACAATGATTTCATCACAGTCTTGAAACACACAAAGAGCATTAGTGAAAGTACTTGTGTAGAAATCTAATGCATAAACATTCATAAAAGAGCTGGAAGAAATGGGCTCAATCCATGTATTAGATATATTAGACTGTGGGCATGAGGGCATGTGTTTACCAAATAATCTGTGTCCATAAACACCCTTTATAGTGTTTAGAGGTTTCCTAAATGCCAGAATAGTTACCTCTGCTGGAAAGGTTGGGGTGTTCTTCAATGTTTTTGTTGAACTCTCCTCAAATTGGAAACATCCATTTCAATGAGTTGTGATGGCAAGCAGGCTTTTGGGTGTAATGGAAATATTTCTGTAGCCTGGCTGCTGTTTATCAAGGGTGAAGACAGTGCATATTTTTAAAAACTATGGGCTTGGCAGGAGCCCACATGTCTTAGGCCAGGCCAGCACAAATGCCTTCCCAAATGATTTGCACTGACCTTCTTTTGCAAATTTGTCGTTGACAGCCTGGGAGCCTCCCAAGGGAGCCTGAAATATTGTTGAGGAGGGTGTCATCCTTGGCCTTGAGGGGTCTTTTGACACTTTTGATGGGGTGGTATAAGGCCACTTTGGTATATTTTATTGGAATATGAAAAAAAATGGAAATTAATTTTGTTTGGCAAATCCTGCAACATTCCCTTGAGATATTGCCACTCTCTGGGGCTTACAGAATTGAAATCTGTTTTTGATGCTGATCCATGGGACTTCTCAAATTTCCATGCCTGAGGGAGAAAGCTTGTTAGAGTGTGAAATCTGTGAGTGTGTGATTCAGGGTCCAAGATGAGAAATCCAGTCTGAGCTCTGCTGTGTATGGACTGTCATTCTGAGCAGATCACTTAATTTCTTAGTTTGTACTTTTCTTCAGTTTAATCTGTTATTGTACCCACAACAACAAATGGCTTTTGAACACATCTGTTAACTAGAGCTGGTAATAATAGTACCTGTTGCACTAGATTGCACTGGATGGGGCTTCCCAGGCGGCGCTAGTGGTAAAGAACCTGCTTGCCAATGACAGGAGACATAAGAGACACAGGTTCGATCCCTGGGTTGGGAAGATCCCCTGGAGATGGGCATGGCAACCCACACCAGTATTCTTGCCTGGCGAATCCCCAAGGACAGAGGGGCCTGGTGGGCTACAGTCCATAGGGTCGCATAGAGTTGGAATGACTAAAGCAACTTAGCATGCATGCATGCATTGCATTAGTTGGCTGTGATGGTCTAACAATAATTACATTTTGGTTACCTACTTATCGCATGCCAGTCACCTCTCTGTACATTTTAAGAGGATACAATTTATTTACTCAGCCCACTATGTGTATAGTAGTATTTACCACTTTCCAGATGAGGGGCTGGAGACTCAGAGGGCTAAGTCAACATGCCCAAGGGCACACAGTCAGGAAACTGAGGAACTGGGATCTCAACCCTGAAAGCCAGGCTGCTGACTCTGTAGACAGTGTTTCTAAGATGGCTTTGTTGTCGTGTAGTACTTCTTACTCTTCCACTGTTCCTCTTGTTATTTGACGAGCCGAGGGAGGGATAAGCTGAGCCTGGAGGTAGATTAAGTGTACAGATCACAGTGTTGGAAAGAATGAGGAGACAGAGCATATGAGAGCTTTTTTTGGAGTTATAGGGAAACAGCTGTTTCTAAGTTTGGGACAGAGCCGGAGAGCTCCAGCAGAGACAGAGAAGGACATTTCTCAGTGGCTTTTTGCTCTCTGCTGTGAAGAGCTGTGCTGTGAATTTAAGGGCCATGTGTGTCTTTGCTCTCCTATCACATTTTATTTGGAAGCCTGTCTCTCCATTCTAGCCCTCAGCTGTGACAGCTTCAGAAACTTAGAAAACTGCCGTGGATACAGATAGCAAACTCTTGAGTCATCAAAGGCAAGGTGAAGGATGGACTTGTTAGTGGAAGTTCTTCTTTGTTATTGTATTTCTGTGAAATGTCTATGGGGGTGACCCATGGAGTGGCTTGTACTCAAAGGAGAGAGAATTGAGAGCTTGGGTGACTTTCTTCTCATGAGTTGTCTTAATAAGAGAGTGAATCATCCTATTAGCTTTCATCTTGGAAAAGAGAGAGGGTGCGAGTGAGTGCGATGATATCTGACGGAAACCAGAGGCCTTCTGTGTGGGTCTCCCAGGGCAGAGCTGGGCCGACACAAGGGTCTTGGTGGCTTGAGCCAAGGGTGGGGGCCCCCAGGGGCTTTGGGAATGGCTGTCGGCTTTGTGCCACTGCCACCTCCAGCCCTCTCCAACCCTGAGAGGCTCTGGGGAAGGACTAGGCCTTAAGAGAGAAGTGGACTGGGGGCTGGGTGTGCGTCAGTTTTCAATGGGGCTTCCCAGGTGGCTTAGTAATAAAGAATCCACCTGCCAATGCAGGAGACCTGGGTTCAATCCCTGGGTCAGGAAAATCCCCGGAGGAGGAAATGGCAACCCACTCCAGTATTTCTTGTCTGGAGAATTCCCATGGACAGAGGAGCCTGGCGGGCTACAGTCCATGGGGTCACAAAGAGTCAGTGACTGAGTGTACACTCACGCATTTTTAAATGGCAAACCACTGGTGAAATTCATGCATAGCAGTGATAATTTTGAGGATATTAATGTAAAAATTCATCCCATACAACTGGACAACGCAAACATAAGTTTAGATCTATAGGGATGTCATTGGCTACTCCGACTCCACCTCATGAAGGGGGTGGGGTGGGGCCCTCCCCGTGTTAGTACCTGGTTCCCCGGTGCATTTTGGGGGAACTCTTGTTTTCTTCTAGAACTAAGAAAGGAACCTTCCAGGTCCTGGAGTCCCCCTGTTTGTCTCTGAGTTTGTGAGGAAGCTGGGGGCACAGCTTTCTCTGACCTCCTCTCCGTGACCTTTCTGTGGACTCTCCTTTGGATCTTCAGCTGAGTCTGGGGTCCCCAGAGGAAGGCGAAGTCCCCTTGGGAGGGAGGGATTGCTGGAATACCCCCTCAGACCAGCCACCCAGTTTAGGGATGGTGACAGGGTGGTTGTGTTTTCAGACTTCCTTTGACCTCATGGCACACTTTACCCAGAGTGGTTGTGTTTCTCCACAAGGCCTCACTGCCCCGGTTTTGCCTCATTTTCCTTCCTGCCCCAGCCATCAGCAGAAAATACTTAAAAAAAAAAAGAAAACAGGTGTTTGGCTGTGTTGGGTCCTAGCTGTGGCTTGCAGGATCTTTTCTTGCAGTGCACTGACTCTCAAGTTATGGGGCATGGCCTTAGTTCCTCCGAGACATGTGGAATCTTCCTGGACCAGGGGTCCAACCCACGTCCCCTGCATTGCAAAGCAGAAGTCCCAGTACCTACTGTTCTTACACTGCTCCCATGTGTAAGAGGATTTACTCATGTCAAGCAATTCACTTCAGTTATTTAATTTAGTCCTGTAGCAAACCTATACGCCAGGGGTTATTATCTTTTTAGACGGGGGAACTGAAGCTGAGGGCTGAGTAACTTGTCCAGGTAATAGCCACTTACTGTGTGGGATGTGTTTTTTTTTTGTTTGTTTTACAGTTTATTATAAAAATTTTCAAATATACCCAAACTTAGAGAAGCTACAACACATTCCCATGGACCCATCACCAAACTTCTTCACTGCAGTGCTTCTGGGGTCGCAGCATACAGCAGATACCTTTGTGTGAATTAGAAGAAAGGACTCTTTCTCCAGGGTTCACAACGTAGTAAGCCAAGCACATGCTGGATCCAGCCCCATCTGCCCCTATGGGTGGCCCCTCTGTGTAGTGAACAGCCTACAAAACTGTATGTGATGGCTCTCTCTGCCTCACTGCTCTTCTCATCTAGCTTTTGACACAGAGAGTCAGAGTCATTTCTCTGGTTGGCCCTCAATTACAAGGGACGGGGGGAAGGAAGCTCAGGTGTTGGGGACTTCTGGGGCTAGAATAAATTACGCAGGGGGGTAATTCCGGAGGAGATATTCCGGCTGCAGAGGTGGGTTGAGGGCGAATGAACTGTCTTTTATTGCTCCTGTTTTTCTACCAGCCACCTGCTCCGTTGATGGCTCCTCCCCGATGCCTTCTCCTGTCTCTTCTGTGCCCAGGGCAAGGGAGGCACTTGTATGTGTCCGTGTGGCTGGCAGGGGGGCAGCTGGTAGAGCGCAGGGTGTGAAAACCTGGTGTGGACTCAGTCTTGGCTGCCACCCTCATGGAGTCGCTGGGACAAACTGTCTTTACCTTCTGGCAGTTCACCTTTTCTTGGGGTGCAATTTA